AAGACCATTGCGGCAATCATCCTTACTTCCTGGGATGCATCTTGAGGTAACTATAATAATGATTATTAGCATCCGTTCTCACTTCCGCCCATCTCATACCCATATTCACCTGCAAGGAAAAGGTAACAACGGAGAGAAAACTAACCTTATCAGGATGACACTTCCCAATCGCCTTCATGTAATTAATCTTAACTTTCGAGTTGATAACCAATTCATGCAAGCCGACCTTTTTCCAACCACTCCCTTCCCAAAGTACATTTTCCATACTCCCAATTAGCGCTCTCAGATTATCGCGTTTTCCTTCTCTCCACTTATTAACTCTCTCCTCTACCTTATCCACCAGAGCCAATTTCTCATCGTCTGCCTTTTCAGCAGCTTGATTCGCAGCACGTAAACGCAAAACCGCATCTGAGTCGGGAGTTGGAGCTAAGGATGCTGCAGCCGAGGGTTGCGGTCTAGATTTTTGAACAGGACGAGATGCTGGGCGAGGAGCGAGAGCTTTATCACAACGTTGACGACCTTGAATAGCTGTAGCTCCACCGACACCACCTTCAATACATAGTTTCCAGACATCACTGGCCTCTTTCCATTTCTCAAGTGCTTCTAATGCTTCGGCTTTACTTGTCAAAGCTTTGCCCCAGTATTCTTTCATAGATTTACGGTCATCTGCAGCACCGGTACTCAAGTCGATTATTTCATCTTGACCACGAGAAGGCCCAATGATCTCGATAGCACGATCAGAATCAGATATGGCCTCACGTGGATGGCCGGTTTTGACCGAGCTAATAGATCGTTCAGCAAGTAAGAGGATGATTATTGGATGATTTTGAGGTAAGGGTGAAAGAGATGAAGTGTAAGATATGTGGGCTGCTGAGTAATCACCACGGTCAAAATGTGCTTTGCCTTCTAGGCGATGTTGTGTCGAAGATTTCAGAGCGATGGGAGAAATAGCAGGGATTGTACGTGGAGGTGCTTTTGGCCTAGACGGAATTGGTGTGGAAGTTTTTGATGAGGCTGTCGCTTTCGGTGTTGGCCTAGAAGCTGCTGGTGTAGAAGATGGCCTTGGCTGTGATGACCCAAATAGAAGATCTGGTTCAGGTTCTCGTGTGGGTTGAGGAGTGGGTTTTTTCCGTCGAGCAGAGCTTACGTATGCCTGAGCACTTTCTTCTTCTATTGCTTGCCTGTTCACCCGTACCCTAGGAGCCGCTGGAGGTGGAGTAGGTCGACTCTGGGGTCGTATTTGCTGCCAGCGTGGGTTAGACGTAGGCCGTTCGGGAGGGAATCTTGCAGCAGCTGGAGAACTGTCACGTGAAGTACCCGAATCAGACGTGGCTGCTTTCGGTTTCCTTGGCTGAGGCCTAGATCCACTTTCTAATGCAAGAGCTTCATCTGTGACGTCAGGAGTGCTTTTAGCAGCTTCAGCTTCAGCTCTCACCCGCCTTGCACGTTGCTCAGACATAGCCTCTCTTTCTGCTGCTTCTCGCATCCATTTCGGTTGACTGGGATCGGCGTCTGCTTGAAACTCGGCAACCGCTTTCTCAATTTTCTTTTGAGATGTCTTCCAAAAAGAATTCGCGGTCTTAAAAATATTGCTTCCAACAGCAGCAGCAGTTTTGGAAAAGTCGTTTTCATTGTTTGGTGAACGATTGTCTTCTCTTCGAGGTTGCTGTGATTGAGACCTTCCTTCTTCTCGCATCCATGCGGGATTGGCTTTCCGCCCATCACTTGATACATTCCTCCTTTCCCCATGTGATGTGGAACCATTCCGGTGACTAGGTTCTTTAGGTTGCGTCTTTGCTTTGGCTTGCGCATGCGCATCGTTCAGTATCCATCCAACAGCTGCTTGAATATCAAGACCAGTGCCACTTTCAGTTAAAGCACGTCTCGACTGTTCTGCCGTGAATCCCATATCTACAAGCTCAGCAACAGCTTTATCCCAAGGGTCATTAGGTTCTTCATCGTCAGAGCTTGATTCTTCGCGTAATTCCGGCACCGCAGGTGTAAACCTCCTCACTTCTTCCACTGGCTTTCCCAAATCTCCCAAGAAATCATCATCGTCCACAGTATTTGAAATCGGTACTGGCACAGAGGTTGGTTGTTTCAATTGGCCCAATCCAAATGGATCATCGTCGTCCCCGAAATCCCCCGAACTGCTTGTAGGTTGATTCCAGGCTTGAGGATTACTTAAATCGGGTATTTTAGTTGTGTCAAATCCTGGAGTATGCGTACGACTTGAGGAGGTAGAAGGTGGTGGATAGTGACTTGAATTATCTACTTTAGTATCTTTATTGAAGGCCGCAAAAAGATCATCGTCCCCGGAAGCATCAGTGCTAGTTCCAATTGGCGGAGGGGACATAGTCGGCGCAAATGGTGATGTGGAAGGATGGCTCGTCATGGCTGGGATTGGTGAAGGCACTGGCGACAACCCGGTCAAATTATTTCCTGAATTGCCCAATCCATCCCAGAATTGTGTATTTCCAAATTGCGCATCATATTGCCTGCGTTGTTCCTCCTCCTTCTTCCTCTTTTCGTCTTGTAACTTTGCTTGCTGTTGTTGTAATGTCAACGTGTTCGTTTTCGAGGATCCAAACGATACAAGGTTCGAGAAACTGTCTGGAGCTTTCGTTTTGGGCTGCGCAAATGATTTTGAAGCTCCTGAAGCTTGAGCAGACAGAGGGGTGTTCCGTCCAGAGTTCGCAGGCGATGGAGTTGGACGTAACGTGGGATAATAATTGCCTGTGCCAGGTGATACTTTGTTTTGTTTCGTGTTCGAGGCAGAAGACCAATCTAGACCATTGAGATCATCCATTTTTTAGACGTAAAAGGAAAAGACAGGATGCATGAAATGCGCAAAGGGCTAAAGGATATGCGTCGGAAATCAATTAGAGGGGCAGTCGATATTCAGGTATTTGCGGGAGAATATAGTTGAAATCATTGAACATCCATGATGACGTTCCTCCCCAAGTGATATTGCGTTTGGTGACGGGTTCGCTTACCGTAGACGTCATGTCACGCTTTTGTCCTTTCGGCGACAATGGGGAATGACTGACTGACCTTAAAGTTCAGGCTGCAACGATTGGGCTTCAATGCTCTGTGCGAGAGTGCGAGCACAAACCAATATTTCCCAGCACCATGGCCCAAATGGTTGATCTCCCGAAAGAGAAATGAAGCTTATCAAGCTTTACGATTTTGGCCTGGATAGCTTCGGAGGCTTCTGTTAGTTGGTCTTTTAGGATGAGTTTGAGTTTACCTACTTTCCGCTCTTTCGGTCCACCAAATTAAATCAAATCAAATCAATATCAAATCAGTATCGATGCTGATTCAAGATGCCCTCATCCCATTAGACCCTCCGCCTCCGAGCAAGATCAGCCGAAGAATTTCCCCCTTCATTTCAGTCTGGCTAAGTCTGGCTACCTAGGTATGTTTGGCTATGTCTGGCTGCATAGATATGGATGGATGTCTGGCTATGTCTGGCCATGTGGAAAAGGCTCAAGCTTCGTTTGATGATTAAACTTCTTTTGCTCCATGTGCTCCATTTGCTCCATTTGCTCCGTGCAGTCACTACTCAATACTCACGACTCACTACAAAAGTAATCATTGCACGATGTGAGCAAATCTTGCCAAACAGAGGTATTAATTCCATGAAACACTTTTCTCAAACAAAAATCGGGAAAATCAGAGCAAGAGGATTCTAGACCATATTCACATTCATATTACATTATTGTTATATGATATGATACATATTTCCCTTCTTTCCCTTCTTTCCCTTCCGTCTTCATGTCTTCCAGGGTCTACTAGGTCTTCTTTCGGTATTCCTCAATCCGTCAATAGAGCACCAACATAGCCGATGGGAAATATATTAATTTATATTGAAGATCCAAATTATGCTTTCTGGCAACAAGAGAACAACAACTTGTCTGGAGTGAGTGCACAATTACATGTGAGTATGGATAATGTATCACATTACGTATGTGTTTGGGTCAGTATTGTCACTGAATTGTCACTGAACGGATGTAAAATCCCAATTGAGTTGAATCGATGCTAACCGGTCGTCCGTACCGTACCGATGGTAGAACTAGGTACACTTCGTAGCGATACATATCTATAGAGAGGTAACCACATGGAGAAGTAACGTCAACGGTAATGAGAGATGAGATGAAATTCAAGGGAGACTTGGAGGTAGATCTCGTCACCTGTTTCGGCAGACCTTTCGCTTCCCCCTTCTCTCTTGGTAGAAAGAACAATGAAGTGAAGCGGCTCGTGAGTCAACCAGCAGCTATGCAGGAAGGTGCATGAATAGATTATCGATTTCCATACTCGGTTTCAGGACATGTTGCAATTTACACCAAAGTTAAAATCTGTTCATGATGTGCACCGTGATTAAACCTTTTTCTTCCAAACCCCATCTTTGAGTTCATAGGTAATGAATGGTTGATCGATACTCGAATGGTAAGATCGTTAGCATAAGGTGCCGAGGGATTTCGATATCAGCACAAGCCCACCTGTGCCTCTTTCTTCATGCTATCCATCCCTCGTAACGGGTGCTACCTTTCGTAAGGTTAATGTCGTCTTAAATCCTACCTTCCTCTTTAACCTCCTTGTCATCATATCTCTCCTAATCGAAACTCTCATCTCTCCCCTCTCGCCACCTTTCAATAGATCCAAGGATACTCCTGCTCCCTCATCTTCGTCTTCCTCACTAGATTACGAAATTTGGGTGAATCATCACTCCCTACTCGTAGGTACCGTCAAGAATCGTTTACTGTTTAGCTACTTCCATAATCATAGCATCCCGCCCATCAAAGACTAAAATCCTCACTATTTATCCGCGAGCCGGCCCACTGGAACCCTTGAAATATGGATCTCAAGTTTCCATTCGTTACTCGTACCTGCATATTCGGGATGGGGATGGAATGGTTGTGCTCGGTGCTAAAGGCCCAAATCCCGGTTCAATATGACTCTCTGGGACAAGATGCCGATACCAATCATGTCAAGCCTCATTATTTATGTATGAGAGGCTTTCCACAACAGTGTAGGTAATCACATACAAGGTAGATATGCAGTGTCCACGGACTCGGAAAACTAGAAGTAATTTAGTAAAGACTGAGAAGGGCAATAGATATGGGGGACACTTACGTCGGTACCGTATTTTTGGGGCTGAATCCGTGTTTCCAATTCTTTGAAGGGTTGAAGCTGGAGCCCTCGAGGCTTCTGTAACTTATTATGAAGCATCCACAACTCCACCCAGCAATCGAACAGGCGAGAGAGGGAAGGCTTACCCGTACCGAAGAGTCAGCAAATTGTAATAGATGAAAACCCATCCTGTGTAACAACTTACAAGCAAGCATGGTCATCGTCGCCCACCATAATTTGGCCTTCACGATCGTACCTAGACGCCTATTACCAAGCTTGAACAAATTCCCGAGTATCCATGAATCGTGTCAGGCATGGCATCGATGGCACACGGAAGTTCCGTAGATGGCGTGAGGCGTTTTCGGATAATCGCGATTCCCATCCAGTCCTCCAATCCCACGAGCTGGTACAATGTAGGCTTAGACTCAAGTGCCCACTACTCCCTATCAGCCAATTAATCCTAGACGTGAATCCATAACTTCTGCCAGCGTAGTATTATTCCTCAGGAAGCAGTACATAGTTCCAAGCACAAATCAATTTCTCCATTCCTACAGAGTACGCCATCGCCGTCGCTTCTTTTTGTTGAACCCTGGAAAATCGCAATGATGTAGACTGGGGAACGAGTAAGTCAACGTCGCTTCGTCCATTTTGGTGAGATTCGAGACTTTCTCCCGGACTTTTCCTTGGCCGATTTACGATCTCTGAAGTTTCGTTGGACCATGACGTTCAGCATTAGTCGGCACTCGCTGAAAACTAACCACATAGGATGAAGTTTCAGTAATAGTCGCATGCTACGCAGGCTCACGAGTGACGATGGCGTTGAGGCTCGAACCGTTACTTGGGTGGTTCATACTGGCCATCAATCATCTCGGTTTGCACGACTTTCCCCGTATGCAGGAATGAATACTCGTAGTTTGGCCCGTTTTGCGCAAGGAATACAATAGGCAAATGAGGACAAATCAACGCCTCACACTGCCTCATGCATGGAGAAAGGAATTTAGCCGGTAATCAATATGTCACCGGCCTTCTCGGTTTATGGATCTTTCTTAAAATTTAAGTACGCAACGCATCTTGGTGTACGTTCTGCATGGAGTAATACCCAGGTAGTCTCGGTGGCTTGTTGGAAGTGTATTCTTGTTCTCTTACAGATCCTGAAAGCATACCGGCCCCTGACTGAGTTTAACCCCTCCCTTAACGTCGTCGTGTGTGTGGATCTCGCATCATCCAGATTGCTTTGCTAATCTTGACATCCCAAGAACCGACAGGAATATATTTATTCATATTGCACTCAATCATCATTCCTTCGTGTTTGTTTTCATCTAAATGATCTAATCCTACATGGCCACTCCGTATATACTACAATCAATTAATTATACGTTATCTGTCTGTAGGTACAGATTGCATGCCTACATAGGTATCCATTCTCCAGCAACTTCTTTCTGACTTGATGAAGAAGCTCTGTACTCTCTCCATGGCTCTAGATATCGTAATCATTGGCTATATGTGATCCTCCTGGTGCGACTAGATCAACGAATCTACCTTACCATCCACCACGTGTTTATAAATCATAACCTTCAACCTGTAATTCACACGTACCAATCCAGACAGGAACGTGAAGCTAGCCATAGTAAGACTTACATACCAGCCGGTATCCCTAAGTATACTTACCGGAAGACTATAGATGTTACCCGAATACTTAATACCTACATCTTAATCGCTGTTGTCTCCACTAGGTATCAAAGATGGATCTTGAACCTCGTACCAATATAATTACTCATCTAGGCCTATTCCTCTCGTGTGCCATTGGAAGCTTCAAGCATTAGAATTGCTGAAACCTGATATCAGCAAATCAAGTCCAATATAAAGCAAAGCAGAGCAAAGCAAAGCAAAGCAAAGTGAAGCAAAGCAAAGCAAAGTGAAGCAAAGCAAAGCAAAGTGAAGCAAAGCAAAGCAAAGTGAAGCAAAGCAAAGCAAAGTGAAGCAAAGCAAAGCAAAGTGAAGCAAAGCAAAGTAAAGTAAAGCAGCTTTTCATCCGATATTATCCAGCTCCATCTTGTTTCTTGATAAACTTTTTCCGGGTACTCTATATGCCATCAATCTCTTACAAGGTACTTTCTACTATTCACATCAATCACTACTAATGATGCTTCAGCCACCTCTCCCTCCACTATTCACAATCCACTATTCCTAATATCACCGCATTTACAGTTGGTACCTTACCTTATTCTGTGCTTATCTACGGGAAAAGTCGAGGAGAAAACTGGAGGTGGGAATTCGATCAAAATTATTCTGGAGTCTGGACCTGGTCAAAAAGAAAAGAGACGAGACGATCATATCACACCCATTAGTACTTCATACGAATCCATACGAAGAAGCACTCTTTTCTCACCTAATAATAATACTCCCACCAGACATAGATCATAGATCATACATCGTACATCGTACATCATACATCATACATACATAACATACGTCTTCTATTGCAGATTCGAACACCTTTCTTTCTTCCTGCCAAAGATCATCTCTCTTCGTCTCTCTCTCTCTCCCTCTCACTCGCTCGCTCATCCACTCACTCATCCACTCACTCACTTACTCACACATACACACACACGCATATTCTTTGCCTCCAACTAAAGGAATATATAAAACTCGTACATACCATCCATACCTACATGAGTCCTGAGGTCCAATCACGTCCTATCGACTTTATTAAGTACCACTCACTACACACTTACTACACACATACTTACTCACATACGGAAATATATACGATATAACTAATCGGAATAATTCATCCAACGCTCCTTGTTCCTCATTTGTTATCACTTGCTACCTATTCCTTCGTACTTTCGATTATCCTTCCTTCCTCTTTGGAAAATTAAGAAAAAATTGTTATTAGTATCCACAGTTACGACTCTCACTCACTCACTATCCTATCCTGTCCTATCCTATCCTATCTCGCTCGCTCGCTCTCTGTCTCTCTCTACTACACTACCTACAGTAGTACCCTCTCTACTTTCCCCCACTTACTATCCACACCAAAAGTCTCGGGCAACCATCAAATCATCTTTCTCTTCCTTCTTCCCTCTTCCGCGGTGTGAACCCGTCGATCCCCATTCCCGAGACAACATTTCAAACGCAAGGACCTAATATCGACCTACTCCGTAAATCTATAGCTATCCAAGGGAAAGGATCAAGTAATTACGGATTGCAACAAGGGCCGCAAGGACTACAAAGCCCCCTCCCCTCTCCAAATCAGCTACGGGCTTATCGAAACCAGAGCGCTGTCTGTACTGTGCATTTGCCAACAACGATAATCAAAAAGGCCCCGTTACGAAAAAAAAAAAAGGTGATTCGAAATAAAATAAAATAAAAAAGACCGACCTAGCTTTTCTGCAGATTAACAGGGCATCCGGTGATTGTGACCAAGTGCGGCCAGCCAACGAAACTACGAGTTATCTACCAGGGGACGAAAAGGACGCACTGCGCTGCATCATACAGGGCATCTGCATAAAGAAGGCATACCGACCAAGCAAGGGGAGACATTTAAATACGGAAGTATGGGCCTCTTTTCACGCAAAGAAAAGACTTCTCCTTCGAATGGTTCATCATCAAGAACAAACTCTACACAATTAACTGAAGTTCAATCTTTTCGCTCATCACAATCCTCACTAAAATCACCCTCCACTCCTGGCTTCTCAAGAATGTCTATCCCCACCATACCCAAGATCGCACTTCCCAAGGCACCAGATCCAAATGTCGACCCAGCTGGATATTTGAGAAGCATTGGTGCTGTACGGGAAAGATGTGGCATCGTATTGGAGAAGGCTAAGAAGAATGATTTGAATCATTTTGAAGTCGATATGGGAAGATTCAAAGATACCACAAAGTTTGTCGTCTCTGTGATCAAGGTATGTATTCACATCTCCACTACACATTGCACTGGTGCAAAAGATCTCGTTGCTAATTTCTGTTGTGATTATAGCGCGACTTTGCACCTGATTATAACGCCATTCCCCCTCATGGTCGATGGCAACATTTCAACGTAGGAGGTAGAGATAGAATCGGGGAGCTCTTAGGAAGCTGGCCAAGCCAAGTTGATCCTTCCGAACGATGTCGCCGAATTCTCGATCTCTTCCTTGTATCTGTCTTACTCGATGCCGGTGCCGGTACATCATGGAAGTATAAGAGTGTTGAGAGTGGTCGCACATACAGGAGAAGTGAAGGCTTGGCAATTGCCAGTTTGGAAATGTTCAAGGCCGGTACCTTCAGTAGTGATCCAGAACAACCACACAAAGTCGATGCAGATGGATTGTGCCAATTGACTGTGGAGATCATGAGCTCAGGTCTTCAAGTCACTGAGCAGAATCCGATTGCTGGTTTGGCAGGTAGAACTGGTTTACTGGTTAAACTTGCTAAAGCTTTACGAAATCCTTCTCTCTTCGGTGCAGATGCTAGACCTGGAAACATGCTAGGTACGTAATATCTTCACAACATTTTGCAGAATCAAATCCTAATATTTACAGACTTCCTCATCTCCCATCCTTCTACACAAGCCGCATCTGTACCAATCGTTCCTCTGCCCACCCTTTGGAGTGTCCTGATTGATGGTCTTGCACCAATCTGGCCAGCATCTCGCACAGAAGTTGATGGCACATCCATCGGTGATGCATGGCGTTTAACTACGATGCCTGCAGATGCCGCAACCCCTCTTTGGGAGACAATTGTTCCTTTCCACAAACTCTCTCAGTGGCTTTGTTACTCTCTTATGCAACCAATGACTAAGCTCATGAACATACATTTCGCCGGAGCTGAATTATTGACCGGTTTACCCGAATATCGAAATGGAGGTCTATTCATTGACACTGGCGTATTGACGCTGAGAAGAGATGAAACCAAGAGAGGCCTCGAAGCATTCCACCGAAATGCAGAGAGAGAAGGCAAACCAAGTTTGGAAGTCGTTCCAATGTTCACACCAGATGATGATGTGATCGTTGAGTGGAGAGCTGTAACCGTTGGGTTCCTAGATTTGTTATTGGAAGAGGTCAATGCCAGTTTAGGACTCTTTGGTCAAGACAAGTTATCTCTGCCACAGATGTTGGAGGCTGGCAGCTGGAAGGTATGTTACAACGATTTATTCATTCCGTATCATTGTACTAATAAATCAAATAGGGAGGCAGAGAAATGGCCGAAATCTCACGACCTAACACTCAATGTCCACCAATTGCCATCCTCAGTGATGGAACAGTCTTTTAATTCGCTTCGTACTCGCTTTGCCCTTTTTCGCATTCACTACTTTTTTCGAACCGCTGGCTAGGGTTTTACGACGAGATGAAAAATGACATATGCGAGTTGTTTACCTTTTATTCTCCTACAGTCTGTCTGCTTTGCTTGCACTTGCGCGAACTGGAATTCAATGAAAGGATGTCAGAACCACGCCTGGATACCCTTTTGTGACTGCGATGCGAGCGAGATTTCAACTTCGGTTTACTACTACTTGGCTTTTGGATTGAACGAAAGACATTTTTACATACAATACATAAAATTAAACGGCACATATTGGACGGGCAGGGCAACTGATGGAGGGATGAATGGATGAATGGATGGATAGGTGGCAAGGAAAATTTTAAATTCGCAGATTGTCATCATGGATGGCGGTGGTGGTGGTATTCTTTGTTTGTCTTCTGGATTATTGTGTTATTGAGATATAGGTTTGGTTGATTGATTGGGTTGGAGAAGTACATGTACTATTTGGAAGGAGATATTGGGAGGAATGGATGGATGGGTGTTTGGCCTGGATTAATCGTCACGGCGGTCAACCAGATATCTCGGGGATTAGCCCCAATCTTACATACAAATGGAAGAGAATAATTGAATATCTGTCAAATCACTTTTCTTCGCTGCTTACATTCATCGATGATCTCGACGTTTCAGATGCTGGTAAGAATTCCGGGCATAAGAAAATCTCCGTGGATTTCAAGATACTGGGAAGTTTCCCTGCATCCCGCGTTCCCGTTGTTACAGTGGTACCTGTTGCAATCCGGTCTAAGCTTGTCCGTCACATCACATCATGTCTCCACTATCACATTGCTCAAATTACTGGCGGGTCAACTCTCTATCACTTATCACAAACATTATAATTTGCAGTTGATGTATTAAGTAGTATATCCGTTCACTCGGATTTCGGCTAATCTTTCTTGCCATGCACGAAGATGGAATAGCTTCATCTCAATCCTAGTTGCAAGAACATTCCATGGAGTATATGATTATCATACTATTCTATGGTTCCTTCCTTCTGTAGGTTAGACTAGTTGATATCTCATTATTCCTGTCTCTTGTTTATCATCCACACCTACTCTCACTCTCACTGCCTAACTACACATTATTGCTATTTTGCTGTCTCTCTTGATAAGCTCTTTTTTTGGTACACAAAACTGCAAGTACGACCTATTCGGGAAATTGTTAATTACCGAGTCCGGAGAATTTACTCGGCTGATTAGAGAATCTTACCACTTAAATTGGAGCGTTAGTAATCCTTCTTTTATTCGACTGAGACATTCTTGCGAGGTGTATACCGAGGTCCATACTAAAGTAGGAAATGTATTAATACATGTTTCCAGAAAAATTTCCGTGCTTTCTCTTGGGAAATGTTCATGGGCTTCAATACCTAGACGAGCATAGATCAACGGATGCGTGAAGGAAATGATGAAATGTGATAGGATCGGCCATGGATCTTCAGGTACGGAGATTTGGTGGGGACCACGGAGAAAGTCAACGTGCCATTCCACATTGGCGGGTACAACCGGTCTTGATTAGTGCTAGAGCACATTAAATTCACACAGCATGAAAAAGGTATTCTAGGAGATCGCCTATGGGCTTGGGCGCTTGGATTCTTTGGTTTGAGAAGATTAGGAATTGAGCCCAAGACGCAACGTTACGGCATGCGATTTTGCCAAGATGCAAGAACCGTGGTCGTGGGATTTATGACAGCTCATGAAGATAAGATTTTTGGTCGTTGGTAGTGTATGATATGCGGTCTCCCACACGGCTGGATTGAATAAGCACGTGCGTTTGGGTGCGAAGGATTGGGCATGCTTATATCGTGCGCTTAAACGTGGTCTGGGGAAATGAGACCGTTATGTCGGAGCTCGGATTGCAGCGCCATGTGAGACCCGAGTTCGTTTTGGGGGTATCGGGGGACTTGTGGAATTGTCTGTTGGGAGATGCTTCGAAGATGATTTTGGAGAACGAAAAGAAAAGGAGAGGGGTGTTTTTGGAAGAGAGTGGAAATTGGATGTTGATCGTCATCAAGCATCTTCTTCTTGGAATAAACGAGATTGGATGGCACACGTACTCAGGTCTAAAGCGGGGGTTGGGTGGAACGTGTCAAAAACGTGAGAAGAACGTGGGATGTGTATATGGGTACCAAGATGGGGTCGGACTGCAATAAGCGAAGGATTGGATACCGAATGATGCAAATAAGCTCCGTGTCAGTCGTTCGGAACATGTCTTAATACATCCGTCCAAAGCCCATGACTTAACAATGATGTTTAGAATGGCCCAATCAGGTGTGAGTTTTATTCACCGCTGTGCTGGTTGCAATCGAAAGCAGTACAAGAGCGAGAAATCAGATCCATATCAGAGCATCAAACGGACATGAATACATTGGGGTGAATAACCTCTGGGATGAATGTGAGGGTTTGTATCCCATCTGTCTCTATTCAAGCGAATGATGCTTACGAGTTGATTCATTCTGGCTGCTCGGTCGACAATACTAGCTTTTAGAACACAATTTGTGGGGTGAGAAAATTTGGTACGTATGTATTCATTTAATTGTTAAGCTAGTTCGATTGGGAGGTGCAGTCCTTCATGGACATTCACCAGAAAGGAGAACCCTCCCACGAGCTTGACTCTGCTATCTGGGATTCATCAAGGAAATACATTGAAATGCTAGTATGATGGCTCTAGAAACAACGAGCTATACTGTTTAACTCCAGGTAGTTCCCGATAAGTCATCACGAGCCCTATCACAATTGAATTTTCCGCTGTGAGTATAGCAAAGGCTAGCGATCCCCGTCGCCCACATGGCCCCGGATTCCCACATGACAATAGTAAGGTCCCACAACTCTATGATTTTCTGTCCCTGAGGCAATGCTATTTCAGCCGCGAGGACAGCTCCAACAAATTCGCTTTCAAAGGGTAGAATATTTCCCCCTCTTACATACGCAATGACTGGATTGACAAGAAGTTCAACAACACTTCGAGTTTCCGGCAACGGGTTCGAGGAAACGATAGATTGAAGCCGCGCCTCAGCATTAATGAGAGCACGCTCACTACGCTCGATCTTGGTACCACAGGCTCGGAAGTGCTCCAATGATGGCCTTTCTTGCGGGATTGTGGGAAGAATTCCTCTGCTCACAGTGTCAAGGTCGGTTCGACCAAAGAGGGAAATGGGTCTATGGCGACAGTTTGCAAGTTGCCACCAATGTGTAAATAAAATGCACAAAGCAGCAGGATTGAAGGGGTCGTTATCGCGATACCATATTATCGCCCCCATAAAACGCGAGTACACCTCAGCCAGTGGCTCTTCCTCCAACGATCCCCCTGTAAGCGTCGGAATGATGTTGCTAATCTCACCACATGCTATATCGGCTCCCAAATCAATCCAGTCGTGTACTACGCATCCCAGACCGGCCATCGCCGCCATCTGCTCACCACCACCACCATCGTAGTAAACGTGACAAAACACCGGCATCCGCGAGGCTTATAACGGGCCAATCGGGCAAGATCGTTCCATATAACTATACACGGGCGGGAGCGACCTGGATTGGTATCCTCGATAATGGTTTTTTGTCGTAAGCATGAGTAGTTGCAACCCTTAACAACCCGAATGTCAGTGATATGCTCGCCAGCGGAGACAGACGCTTCAGCAACAGCAGCCACTTCAGAAAATGTGGAAGCTAATTTTCCTGCCATTGCAGCACTATCTTTGCCAATCGAGTAATCAAGGACGAAACCCGAGTCCATTATCGCCCATAAGCCAGATATTGACCCGCCATAAACACCGCGATTATAACCAACTGCCATCGAGAAGATGCTGGTGTTAAGTAGCGGGCCCTCGCAATCCTCCCCCGCGAGGACGTCAATGGTATCCTGGTCAGTTGAAAGTGCCACTCCGCTCAACTTTGGAGGGAGAGGTTTTCGGACAGAGCACCAGGTTGGTATGACCGCTTCGTGTACCTCGGCAAACACGAGACGCTCTGTGATACCTGTCTCAATCACTCTATTCCGAGCGGCCAAGAGCTCTGCAGCATCTGAGAGCATCCCCATGGCGCAATCAACAGCATCTGCAACGCGTGCGTTGCGTACCCTAGATATATCAGTAGCGGCGCCCAGAACTCCTCCGGTTCGAGGGGTATCAATTCGACGAGCCAAGGCAACAGTCGTAGTCAGAGTTTTTGTTTCCGCTGAGTAGGTTTGGCAAAACTTGCTAGATTTCACATGTAGAGGAGAAATTCCGTGGGTCTTCAACGCCCACGAGGGTGCTCCAAGCGGACATTACATAGTGGCTCCTTCTGCAACTACATGAGTGGCTTCCCACGTGGAAGTAAGTCGAATGGTAGCGGCAGAATCTGGGGCTGAGGATTCACCCGTTCGCTCACCCCAATGAGACACAACGGGTAGACAATCAAACGCTGGCGAACGACTCAAACCACCAGTTACAACCAGTCCAGGGACGAGATCAGATAAGAGCTTCTGTTCACTTGCGGGCAATCTAATCTCCCTTGAACGAGAGAGAATCTGATGGAGTTTTGTCTGGGCCTCGCTATCTGATATGTGTATATGGCGCGCTTTGCGGTATCCCGGCTCTAACGGCGAGATGTTTGCGATGTTGCAGAGAAAATCTGTTGCATCTCGACATGACATTCGTGTCCCAAAAGACGGCTGTTCTGCAGCTCGGGGGTCGTCTAGTCCACCGCGACTGACTGGTTCTGGGAGAACTTCTACTCGAGCATTGTAAGGCATTATGACACGAATCGGTTTCAAGATCCTGTGTATAGAAGAATAGAAAATCGGTAGAGGAATTTCGATCTATGGCTTGATGATCTCACAACGACTTTTCACAGTTCTATAGGTCTAGTATTTATCTTTCTCGCTTTCTCTTTCCTTGCGTAACCGATTCCCGTGATACGATTCGGAAATTTATTGATTTCTAGGCGCCGCTGAATACATTTCGTTACTTTACACAGCATGATGTTACGCGAGTAATTATTTGAGCATCTGACTGGGGAGTGGAGACCTGGAGAGCTGGATATCTGCTTGGCAATGCGCTAGCGACTAGAATGGCTTGCGTCTGACTGGGGAGAAAAAGAATGCATCGTGTACTGAATGAACCATATTTTGAACCTCGGCTTTACTTTTTTTCGCTGGAAACGTTTGGAGTGGGTTGTATTTTGTCATTTTTGTCATTTTGTGTATGGGTTCTCAGCTTGGGGAATCAAGCCTGAAGGCTTTTTTGGGGGGAGGGGTGAATGGGATCGAGTGATCGAGTGATTGGATTGTATGTAGGGTTTTTGGCTTGGTTTTTAAACTTTTGTGGTTCTTTTTCGAAATGTGTATAGTGTAATATCTCTTCGTTATTTTCTACTGTAAACAGTTTTTTCTGTGTAGGGATTCCCTGGGGAATAGATGGATAGATGGAGATGGGTATATATACATATCTTCCCAAAACAACAAATCCAATATCAATATCTCATCCTTGGTGAAATAAATATGTAACGTACGCTGTAGATGGTGAAACTAGGCATGTCATGCGTGCTACTCGAAGATGGGGGAAAATTCCCGAATGTGCAGGGTTTGTACGAGGTGAGGACTGCTGACTCTGATCTCGAGATGCTTGGGTTTGGGTTTGGGTTTGGGTTGGGGTTTGGAGGCTGGCGGAGGGGCAGAAGGGGGAGGAGTGTCTGGTGTGGTAGATGGTGTGCTGAATGGTGTTTGTCGGCATTTCTTTAACCCCACCATCTACTCTTGTAGATGTTTCAAGAAACGTAATTATGAGCGCTATCGTTAAAATGACATTGTTATCATTGAGTAACGTGTTCGATTCTCCAAATGTAACGTCTCAATCCTCTCGATCCAAATCATCGCTTCTCATACTTACTATTTCTGGCCCCTTGTCATCTTTGCTACGAAGGGGGGGGGGGGGGGGGGGGGGGGGGATTTTGCAATTCTTATTTCGGTATTGATATGACTTTTGCGGTCGTATTATGTCGTGCAAGGGTTTACTCGGAGGGTTGAAGGTTATATAAGTATTTGAAAAGGAACCTCGCGTGGTCACATGAAACTTGTAGAGAGATACTTCCCATCATTGAAAACGAAACCGAAATGTATATAAGACGACTCGGAATTACTGGACACGATCAGTTACAAGATATTCCCAGAGTAGAGGATTCAAGTCGTGATTTCTGGTAAGCTCAGATGAAGCTACTACACGCTACAGTATGCATCGAATGTAGACCGTTTTCGTCGCATTGTAAGCTCTTTCTGAAGATAATTTTACTTCTTCCACGCAATTTTACCGTTGCAATTGTCGCTACTTTGCTACTCGTTGTTATTATTATCATAATTATTGTGTTTCACTGGTTAATGTTCAACGACAGTACTAAGTGTAAGAAGTCATTCGGTGACGACATGAGATCAAAATCCCGTCGCTTATTCGCGAGATTACTTATGGACGTGGTTCTTGTTGAAGTTTGACTAGGTGATTAGAAATACTTCCGCTCATTATCCCTATATACTCTACGATTAAAGCTTGCTTCCATTTGGTGATGTTGAGGTGTAAAAATCTGGGGTTTTAAATATGTGGCAGATGGTGATTTGGCACTTGGGGATGAGGGGATTCTATGTTAGAGGGTGAGTGAATGGGCAGTTGGATATACCTACTTCATGCCTTTCTTGTGGGAAGTTAAGATGATGGTTCACTTAGCCCTTCAGATCAGTGCTTGAGATCCCCACTGCAGATTTCGAATGTGGTGTGGTGGAGGGTATATAAAGATGTGGATATTCTAACTAGAATGCCTCGAGCTAATGCGACTTGAGAGAGGTTACTTACGGACAATGAATTATGATGAGGCAATTTGGTATACTCAATCAATCTTATGTCCTTCTTTGGCATTCGGATTGCGGTAATTGATCAGTGTACAGTACCCTCAGTTAGGTTTACTGTCGGAGTGCTAGTAGTGTTATCACTCTTAAAACAATACCCACAGCAACAACAAAACTTCCATTCGAATGATAGCGAGTATAGGAATTTACCTTTACAGTCTTCAGGTTTTCCATCACCCCGAGAGAGGTCATGTTTTCAAATCCACTCAACGCTAAGAATTCTATTCCCGTCCCAGATCTATATCTCACAACTAAAACATCTTCACATCAAGCCCTGAACACTCTAGTAAGATTACATGGCGACCAAGTTCTTACATACCCCAAAACCCTGCGCAAAACACCCATATTTAACTCCCAAGATGAAATACAAGATTTTCCCTTTGCGAATCTTCTCAAACTTTGCTTTAGTTTTAATTTTCATGTCCCTCAATATTCCGACGTCTTGACACTCAACTGAATCCATATATAGATAGATATATAGATAGATATATAGATAGATATATAGATAGATATATAGATAGATATATAGGATAGATATATAGATATATAAATATAAACTTCAATCTCCATCTCAATCTCCATCTCATTTCACCAGAGGTGACTATTTGAAAACACATTCAAGTCAAGAAAATATAAAGATGAGATCCCAAAAGCCCATGTAGAAGCAACTTCAACATCGCTTCAAAACGCAGACAGAATTTCTGTGGAACCTTAGAAATTATCTCTGATATTTTATTATCATAATATTCCATCTCACAATAAGTAGATAATTCCTCACCATCATCTACATATCTATCTGTATTCTCGCCCTCATATTTCCTCCCCTCTTTACTTTCCATCATCATCATCATCACCCCTTCTCAAACACACTACCTAAGTAGTCTATCTTCGTAAGTAGATGTGTAATAAAATCCCCTCGAAGATTTCCATCAGCTATTCATCGCATATCGTATCATATAAATGACATCACCAACCCAAGCCTAAACCTCTCTCCAGATTTCCTTCCTGGTTGTAGCTAGACTGTTATTCCATATATCTACATCTACATCGACATGAAATAAATTGAAATAAACAACATACATAGAGATCTTCCACAATTATCCTATCTTCTGGAATAACACCATCGCTCTCAAATCCTTACAAATAAATACATACCTCTTGCCCACACAACCTCAAACCCAGAGAAATCTAATCCCTCCAATCCCCTAATTATTTCATCTTCTCTCTAGACTGTCCTCGTCTCTCATCTCAGCACCTCCCTACCTATTTAACAACTACAAACTACAAACCCCCAAATTCTCATATCTTATCTCTTCTCATCTCATCTCATATATTGAGAACTCTCAATCAATTGTCGAAATAATTTACTAGAAAATGCCTCGAAGCGCCATCTGTCTGAATAATAAAACTACCTACCACTGGTGTACCTTGCTTAACTACAATATCCTGATTGTATTGCTCTCATTACATCCTCCATTCTTTTCATCACTTTTCTCTCCAATTTAATTTCCCTGCATTAGCACCATACAACTTCTCATCAATAAATCCATCTAGTCTCACCACTACCTGTTCTTCTCTCATCTTCCATCTCCCCACTCAACATCCCCTCCTCCTTTCCTCCTAAGAAACTCTCCCATAGAAAAGACACTCGCATAATCAAAAGACGTATCTCACATCTCATATATTTCCCCCTCGCTCCTTAAACCGTCCGCATATCAGGATGTGTATCCATCTCGAAGAAAGAGATACCAATCCATTCCCCATTCCAATCTCCACAGCAAAGATTAAAAAATCACAAAAAACCACCGCAGTAAACAGTACCTAAACACCAAATCCATACAATCATCTAGATTCCCCAGCTTCCAAAACATGAAAGAAAAATAAAAGAATCTTTATAAATACACTCTGCGTTAATAAATAAGTATATAAGTATATCCAATCTTCCCTTGCGAAGATAGATGAAGAATTCTTCAGCGCCGTTGTATACTAGGTAGGTATGTAAACGTAGAAGAGAGAGAGAAATTGTAGAAATATCCATATATCCATGTAGCCCACTATTCTATTCTGACTACCTAGTACTCTGTTATACTCTCTCTCATCCATCCATCCATCCATCCATCTATCACTACCTAGGTAATCACCATCCTCACACGTTGAAAAAAAAATCCTCTCCAATTCAACCCCCAAACCCCAAACCTCAAGCTCCAACGCCAACGCCACTCCAACTCCAACTCCCCATTGCGATTTGTTGATAATCTATCATCTTATCTTAATGCATTAATTAAATTTCATTGCATCCAAACAACTCAATCAACCCGATCGAATAGCAATTGCACTTCCGAGTCAAAAAAACACCATGCCATCCAAGCAAACCATCCTTTTCCTACCAACCCCAAGAAATTCAACAAAGATATAAAAAATAAATAAACTTTTCATATCCATTCTGAAGATCGCCTAACCCAACCGACCCTTTTAAATACCCTTTATAGAACCAGATTAATTCAAGAAGATATGTGATCCTAAAGATTAAGAAGATCTTTGTTTCTTATTTGGTCTCTCTGCTTCATTCAATTCTTCTTCATCATCATCGTCATCATCATCATCATCATCATCATCATCATCATCATCTGATTCAAAATCGGCATCTGATAGTGCATCTTGCTCTTGTGCTGCGGCTATAATTATATGGTAATGCATTTCTCATAATAAAGAAGCAAGTAATGCACATTGGGGAATTAAAGGGTAGACGAACTAAATATTTGATAGCACCAGGCCACAAATCTTCCGTAATAGCAATAGCAAGATCATCACCATCTGGAAAGATTTCCAATTTCATTCCCAAATCATCTTCATCATCTTCATCATCTTCCTCAACCTCATCATTATCCGATTCAACCACCTTCTTTCCATTTTTTCTAGCTTCCCTCTTTGCTGAATCTCTCGCATTTGCTTCTTTACTTTCTTCCTCACTAACTTTACGACCAATAAATCCAAACCATGCGAAGAAACTTAAACCTCCCATACTTGTATTGCTCATTTTCTTCTCGAGAGATTTGTGTTGTGGAGTCATTTTCGAATTTTCCTTTCGTTCTGCATCCCAAGCATCACAAACCATATCCAATAAACCTCCGGTTAAATCTTTTCCCTTTTTCCAATGAATCCTAACAGGTTCACTGACCAAACCACACCAACCTCCAAGACTCTTTCGATACCAGAACTTCTTGACCAATGTCTCATCTGTGAAATATTCATTTGGAGAGAAAGTCCATGTAATTGATACAGATCTGGGATCTCCGCCCTTGGTGGACTGTGGATCTTCGAGTTCGAAATGCGATACATGCAGAGATGTAAGTGAGGAAAGTAGAAGAGCGGAATCGGAAGGTTGAATATATTGATCTATATCTGGAGGAGCTTGTTCGAGTACCAGGGCCCAGAAATTGGGAATCTGAGAGATAGTTTTGTTGCGACGGGTATACAGAGGTTGTGTGAGGGAAACTTGTTGTCGAACTGATGAAGTTAGTCATGATGTTTAACCACATCAAACCATAGAAAGAATATTGGCAGATCCTATAAAGATACAAAGCAATAATGAAAAATGATTGTAATGTATACTATGAACATCCATGGAGTGTCGTACAAAAAGATGACCCGATTTGATCTTGATCTGATAAAGTCCAAAAGTCGTGGCGCACTCAACCCCTCCAAAGTAGGCACATCAAAGTACCTCCAACGTCATAAAAGAAGAGGAAAAAAGAAATATATTCAGACATACTGATTTCCGTTTCAACATCATCAAATTCCCTTTCAATTTCAGCCAAATCTTCGTAGGAAACGGGGGTATCTTCTAAAGCTGCTGCCATGGCTGCGGTTGTAAATGCGAAGGTTTGTCGCATAGCCAAGCTAGAATTTATACGCGTGAGTGGAGGATTTCGCGTATGCAGGAAAGGGCGAGGGGTACCGGGAACGAACGAAGTAAGGGCTGGACTGTGGTGATCACTTTCGACTTTCGACTTTCTTGTGTACGGATGTTCTTTTTTTCATGCAATTCAAGAGAGAAATAGAAGAGAATGAATGTCACAATTATGCTTATATTGGAATTGAAAAGAATTGAAGGCTTGGCAAAAGAAATAAAAATTGTATGTCACCCGGATTGATGGAGTGGTTGGATTTGGGTACAAAGTCGGACTTTATCTCGGGACCGAGAGTCTGGTGGAGTTTGAAGCTTTTAATATGATTCTCGATGGAATTGGCAATGATGTGAGCTAGGTAGGTAAGAGGTAGGGTACGGTCCCTGGATGGTCTGGATGGTCTGGATGGTAAGAATTGAATGGGAGGAAGCAGAGTAGGAGTAGTAGTAGTGATAGAGAATGAAGATTCGACGGGATGCCGATGATATTTGATGACATTGTCGTCGTGAAGGGAAATGGACGGTATTTATGAAGATGGAATGAATATACATGTATATGAATGTAAAGAAAGGAAAGGAAAGTATATTTTGATATGTTTTCCCTTGGATGCTTGGATGCTTGGATGCTTGGATGGGTTGGGATAATGAAGGAACATCATTCACCAGTCGTTTGTCAATCATCGTTTGTTCTCCCTGAAGGGATCATGTTTGATACAGGTGATGATTAGTAATCTCGATGGTGTGTACGTAGTAAGAAGGATAACGCTTCAATATATAAAAAAGTCTTGGTACGGATGGATAGAGCCTGTCGAGTGTGTCAAGACCATTCAAATGAAAGGTTAATTCCTTCCCTTGTACGGAGTTGCATGAAAAGGGAAGAGGAAGGAAGGAAGAGAAGATTGATTGTGTACAAAGTAACATCCAACATGCGATGGTGGTTGAATGTCATTTTCTTGGAATAACCTCAATATTGGCGACGGGACATGGATACTTTTACTTCCGTGCATCACGAGTTTTTGGGTGTGGTAGACTAGGAGGATGGTAGGTAGGTGGGTAGGTACGACATACAATAGATCAATCAATCAATTACTACCTAGATACTCGTAGGTATTCATTCAATCTCTTCATAAAATGACAAGGTCTATAACCTACATACTACCAACATTCACAGAAATCCTGATTAATAAGGCCTTGAAGTCTGATAGACTGAAGTCTTGAAGTGAAGTTTGCTTTTCCTTACAAAATTTCAACAATATCCTCCCTCCATCCTCCATCCTCAACTCTAATTGGTCAATTACGTTATAGTTTTCCTTTCGTGAAAGATGATTGATCGAAAAATATGGATGTGGATGTTCTGAATAATTCATCATTCTTCATTCATTCGTTCATGTGAACACAATCAATTTTTTATCATCTTCACATTACTTTCATTTATTGAATCTAGACCACGACGACGACCATATCATCACATTTCATTTCATCATATCTCATCACTTCCCTCTTTCGTGTGGTATTGGATCTTCAGACGATATCATACTTTGACTTCAATTTGGACAAACAATATCATATCTTGACTTCAATTTGAACAATCAATATCCCACCATATTCTTCTCGTGTTATCAAGGAAATTAAAAGTCTCCTACCCCTCGTTGCTCAAGCTGTATTTGAATCCCAAAGATTCCGAGCCCAAGTACAAGCCCTTACGAACCAGTCTCCTAGCGATCCATACATTTCTCCTCTCACTTCAGTATTTCCTTAACCACGTACCATCATATCACCATGTCCACCATGGCGACACAATCTTACCCAGAGGGTAGAGTTCTCATCATTATGACAGGAGGTACCATTTGTATGAAATCTTCACCGGAAGGCTTGGTTCCAGCAAGAGGGTTCCTCAAAGAAGGAATGGCTACTAGACCATCATTCAACGACGGCTCAAATCCAGGTAAGAGAATTTTTTTATGTTGTGAAATTCTGTTACACAATCACAATCACACGCGCGATGAATGTACACAATTCAGAATCAAAATCTCAAGTCTCTAGTTTGATGGAGGGGTATTGCGATTGTCACATGTGAATCGAAATTGACGAGCATTTCATGGTCAAATCCAAGTTGGTACATTGAAATTCAATTGATTGTGAATCAGGTCATCAAAACATTCAAATCCAAAGGGCCATTGAATCGAGAACCATTCAGGTCTGAAGGATCACTTGGTTGTATGGACTTGGTCAATCATTGGAAATTGCTCTCAAAGTCTAGATTTATTCGACTTTGGCTTTATTTTCATTCTGTCGTCCATTGTGTGATGGTATGGCTCTAGACTCTTCTGGTTTCTATACCAGTACCATATAATTTCATATCGTGGAGAGCTGGACAATCTTCAATGACGTCCAATGTCTTCAATTTTGAAACACCATCAAGATATTTACGCCGATATGACGAAAGTCGTGTAGGTCGCTAGGAAGTGTTCGCTGAGTGTGACATATTTCGAAGATCTCAAGGGACTTCTTGTACACATAATCGCGTCTCCAAGTTACACTGAATGGCCCTAGTGAGTCTCTCTAAATCATCTCATTTCGGGAGATGTCAGTGGTAGTCCTTCGGTGATATCTCAATCAACTCCCATTGAATGATCTATATTAAGAAATATCACATGCATCCCATCGTCGTTCATTGCATTGCATTATCTCCGCTTTGGATACGTATTGCTTTATTCCGACAACGATAATCCACCACATACGCAATATGTTTCGGAAAATTAATTAATGACTAACTTGTACTCAGATCCTATGCCAGTTATGACCACAAACACTACAGAAGAATATTTACCCAGTTTACGTACTCCTCCAAGCACGTATTCTCGACATGTTCGTTACACCTTGTACGAATTTCCCGTCTTACTAGATTCTTCATCAATATCTTCAAATGGTTGGACACAAATAGCGACCACCATTGAAAGAAATTATCATTTATTTGATGGTTTCGTGGTTCTTCATGGTACAGATAGTTTGGCATACACGAGTTCAGCTTTATCTTTTATGCTGTCCCATCTTGGAAAACCTGTTATTCTCACGGGATCTCAGGCTTCAATCTTTGCTCTACAATCTGATGCCGTGGATAACCTCCTTGGATCATTAATCATAGCCGGAACTTTCATGATCCCGGAAGTATGTCTCTTCTTTCATCACAATTTATTCCGTGGAAACCGCACTACCAAAGTTTCGGCTACCTCCTTTGATGCGTTTGCTTCACCAAATTGTGAGCCTTTAGCAAAGGTGACTGCTTTAGGAGCCACAGTCAATTGGAATCTCGTTCGTCGTCCACGATCGATTGCTAAATTCGGAGTACAACTAAATCTTGATACTTCCCACGTAGCATGCCTTCGTATCTTCCCTGGTATCAAACCAGAAATGATCGATGCCGTCCTTCGTATTCCGAACCTCCGTGGCCTGATTCTCGAAACTTTCGGGGCTGGTAACGCACCCAGTGGAGACGATGGAAGTATGATCAAAATCATGAAAGAAGCATGTGAGAGAGGTGTATCATAGGTCAACGTATCACAATGCCACTCGGGTTCCGTCTCCCCACTGTACGCACCAGCCACCATTTTAGGCAGAGCAGGTGTAGTTTTCGGTCACGACTTAACAACTGAAGCCGCCCTCACTAAACTTTCATTCCTCCTCGCTCTTCCTGATCTTTCATACGACGATGTTACCATGCAAATGCAATGTTCCATTCGTGGAGAAATGACCGAGGAAGGTAGCACAGCCTTTTCACATCCACCAACCGAAGTCGCAGTTACAGCTCAACAACAAGCATTTACGGGATTAGGATATGCAATTGAAAAGGGTGACACGAATGCCATCATCAATATCCTCGACCATGATCGAGCTGGTCTTCTTCAAACAACCGATTACGTTGGCAATACCGCTTTACATTTGGGGGCAGTAGGTCCTTCAGTAGACTTATTAAGAGAAGTAGGTTAGTGCTTCTGCTTGAGATTTTTTCTCTCTTCCTTTTCCTGTAAATTTTTCCAGGTTTCTAATCTTCGAATTCCTGTCCGATAATGAAAGTTTTGATTTTCTTTTCTTTGATGGAGCAGTCTATTGCATTGACGCACGCAATGATCTTTACTCAAATCATTTGAAGTGTCAAATCATTTGTGATTTTTGCATTATTTGTTCATGAAGTTTGAGTCACTTTGAAGATTCAGGAGTTTTCAAAGCACATGTACATCATTTTTTAAGACTCCAAATATCTAAAATCTTTATATATAAGTTATGAAATGGTTTCCGATATTACAATCAGTTGAATGAGACAGTGAAATCTCATCTCACAGCCTGAAAACCCTTCAAATATCATGTCAGTCGGTCTGCTAGTCCAGACAAATACTCGCATATCGCAATTCTGCTTCTCTGAGTTTCCCTCAACTCCCCCCAACTTTCCTATGAACTTTCCTACAAACTCCCCAAATCCTCCACTCCTCCCCTATTCATCATTTCATCATCTCCATCTCAAACCTCCTCGCCTCCTCTTTCATCTCATCAAAACCCCATCCCCAGTCCCCTGAACTTCCCCAAAACCTGACTAAACACTTACTAACCCCAACCACAAATAGTTACTCAAGCGCGGCGCAAGCGTACACGCCCGTAATAAAGCGGGGAATACCCCGTTGTTTTTGGCGAGGAAGGCGGGGGAGAAGCAAAAGGAACATGCGAAGGTTTTGGAGGAGGCGGGGGGTCATTTGTGGGTTGAGGAGAGGGAGGAGATTGGTAGGTTGAGGTTGAGGATGAGAATGAGGATGAGGATGAGGTTTGAGGATGAGGATGAGAATGGGGGTGGGTGGGGGAGGTGGTTGATGGGATGAGTGATGATCGACATAACGAGAAACGTGATGATAGATAGATATGATGAGAGATGAGACATGAAAGAACGAAAGAATCAAAATTGATACTGGAAATAAATATTATCAAAATACAAACATCAAACCTAATTCATATCCAACAAAACAAGACGAAACAAAACAAGATGTAACATCTGAATATCCCTCCTCCCCTCCCCCCAAAAAAGAAAAAATATGTCTCTTTCTTTTATAGATATCTATTTCGTAACTCTAAACAATATATCGATCGATCTCCGAATAAGCTTATATATACATCCACATCCTTTTCAATCGTATCAATCACACCACCAATCACTTATCATCCATCATTTATCATTCATTAACCATTACTACTACCCTCTCACTCCCCAGAAAAGAAATGAACAAATAACATTAGGACGATACCTAAGTATGAGTATTCATTCAGACTCCAGACTGCTTAGTTCCCGAATTTGAGAACTCTGTGAGGAACAAATAAATTAAAACATGGATGAATGGTTAAACGAATGTTAGCACTAAATGAGATGATGGGAAAATTTTGCGTTATGGTGGGTTGGTTGTAGAGGGCTCTAGGTCATTCTCGTGTGTGATATCTGCGATTTGAAGCTGTAGGTGTGGGTTGATGATTTGGATGGTGGGAAATGAGGCGTGATTCGGATGGATGTCGATGTGTTCATGTGGATTGCGAGCAGTGTCTTTGTAAATTGGTATGTCTCTACTCGCTTCTGGGGAGAAGAGGTGAGGCGTGCATATGGCTGTGTTGATCGATTATCTTGGGCGATTGCTTGTGGGCTCTAGGTGCAGCTTGCTTTGCTAGGATGTGCTCCATTGCGAGTCCGAGCACGATGGTATGGCGTAGGATATCGCAGCGTGCGCGGGATCGTAAGTGGCAATGATGTCCTTGACATGTTCAACTTTTGTACCCATTGCAATATGGTGTCAAATGCATTCTAGAGAAAGAACAATGCTCGCTCTTGTAATGCTTCAGTCTCATCTCGTTGGTTCCATTTTTCTTCTTCGTAGCAGATTCCTCGCTTGGCTTCAAATCTGTTGAGTGATCAGCTTGATCGATCATCCTTATTTATTTCGATCCATATTCTTGTTGGAGCGTATATACTACTTTTCTCCATCTATCGTCGCTGAGTTCGATAGGAACACGTATCGTAGGAGCTCATTGAATTGCTGTTTCCATCACTGATGGCATATTGTGGACGTTGAAGAAGCGAGTAAAGAGATCGTAGATGAAGATTTTCATACGATGTTCTTAGAACGGCAATAGTAGCACTTGTTACACGGCTGCGCATCGCAAATAAATCAAGCCACAGCCTTGAAACTAAAGAGGCGGTTTCGAATAGTCTGACGAATTGGCCAATCACTCGGAAGGTAGTTTTGGAACCACTCTGCGAGTTCCCGTCTGGGGTTGCCATAACAAATAAGTCCCTATAAGATCTGGGCAACAACTGGTCAAGAGTTTTAAGCCCCTTTTGGCTGATTCGATGTGTTAAGTAGGGAGCCTGGCTCTTCGTTGTAAGATAAAATGCCCATTTAGTTTGATTGCCTGCACAGTCAAACTTCTCATCTCATACATATTTAGTATTGACGAGGTATGCCATCCTTCCTACCTTTAGCACATCTATCTTCCAAAAGATTGTAAGTGCCTGTCTGTCGCACGTTTGCCACGTTCGCAACAGATTTCAATAGGGGTATTTGCTTTCTTGCTCCATTCGTGGAGGAGGTCAACGAATCCTTCTTTCTCGCAGTTGTCAACCATGATTTGTGAGATTTCCTCAAAGCCTCTATCTGTTGTTGGCCTTAGTGGAAAAAAGAACAATTGCATATGATTCTTAGAATCGATTAGGCATTGACTATGAACAGTATGAAGACCTCTGGGACGAATGGTGACAAAATTCGAGTTTTCAGCGATTTAGGGAGTGGCTAAATATCACAAAAGGCACTGAAGACTCGAACCTCGTTACTATCTGTCCCAACACGACACCATGAATAGCTCTCTTTAACGTCGGGCAGACTTCTAGAAATTGTACCATCATCGAATGTGTGGGCATATCCATGACACGGTTGCTGAATAGTAGCTTGAAGCCAAACAATGTCATGTGATGATAACCTTGGTCTTGCGCGATAAACGTGCACCTGAATCATTCTACTGAACTCTTCACAAAACACAAATTCCATTATAATCTTTAACTCTTGCAACTATTAGCTTTGTTGTGAACCAGTTGAAATTTGAACGGGATGTTTCCATGCCATATACCCAACATAAGCCTGAAAGCCGCCCAAAGCCAGACTCAACAACCCTAGGAAAATCGCAAACATAACACCAGCGATGGTAGCCATCATCACGAATCTTGGGCTACTTTTTCTCTCGAACCATTTCTCAAGACCTCTCGGGGTGGGATTTATCAATTCTCGGTATGGATCTGCCAACCGTGCCCCGAAATAATGATACTGGATATTCTGCTCCTCTGGGTTGCGAATTGACGCGCTCTCATACCTGAGCATATCGGTATCGAAGTTGCAAGTCGATGGCGAAGTAAGGGATAATAGAAGCTCTTTAGTTTTGACATCTGCGAGGGGGAAAAGAATCTTTTGTATTGAATCCAGCACCTCGATAACAAGTGCACGAGGTAGCCCGCCACTACAATTTTCAAATATCAGCAACATACTTTCTATTGGTTTTCTCAACGCTAATGATCAAAGCCAAGTTGTGTTCTTCTCAACTTACATTCGAATTAGATCGGATACAGATAAACTTTGCGGTTGTTCTTTCGTAAGCCTCAATTGCTCTTTTAAGAAAGCAGTATGGTGGAAAATTTCGACAACTCCTAATTTTCTGTCAAGTCTCAAATGATTTCTCAAGTCGTCTGTTGGCCGAAATTCCAACCGCGCATTCTTCTTCAACTTGGTCGCCAAAAGTTCGCTTTTAATTTCATCAATGCTTGGATGGAATGTTTTTGGGAATACGTCGTTGAGAAACTGCAAAAACGTGTCATTGAGATGCCAACGCGCTTGTTCGTTTCCGTACTCTAGCAAGACGGAAGATTGGCGGAATACAGAGCAGTTGATCATCATCACCACCTGAACAGCTAGATTGAGAGCACGCTCTTGATACGGTCGCGTGGGTCGATCGGTAAAGAATTTCTCCAGTAACTCTGCTTTGCTGAGCTCAGGGCTGGATTTCAATTGTTCAATCATTCGGAATAAGTCATTGTAAGATGACAGACCCGGAGACTGACCAGGAACTATATTGCACTTGTAGCCACTTGTGGATATCTTGAAAAACTCGAAATATCGACTGAGCGTTGTTGATCTAGACCACGAGCAATTTGGGGTCTTGCAAAGCGTCTCTGTTAGACATTCTTATATATGAACCAAGACCACAAAACCTTAGCAAGGGCCTGTAGTTGAGGGGTAGTGACTTTCCCAAGTGGATATTCCAAAGTCATACTTGATTATCACAGGGAAATTATTTTACCTTTTGTCACTTTTGTTGTGAATTTGCGTTTATTTGTGTTAAATCATTCCCAGAGAAGATCAATAAGACTCTGGTCTACTATCTCGAAATGGGCTGTGTATGTTACATTTCAGAGGCCCAAGGATGCATGATTTGGGAAAATCTACCATGTCAGCGAATAAAGTATCGAAGACCAACCCCTTGAGTGGCAACTCAATCCAATGAAGCCCCTGTTCAATTAATTGCAGCCCCAGCAACTTTACACTACAATGTCGTCAAGGCTTTACATTGAACTACTTACGTCTGCCCCGCATTCAATTGCTATGTTATCTGTAATTCTTGACATTTATGGTGCTAGCTACCACGATACTCATATTTGACTCAAGTTCTTCAGTGCGATCAAGAACGACAAGTGCCGATAGCAATCATTCTTGTCTTTTTCAGGCATACCCACCATGAATTCAGACAATTTCTCCACAGCGTTACCAGTCACACGCAATGAACCGAAGGACGATTCAGGATATGCTTCGCAAGAACCTTCGCCTCCGCCGAATAGTTCGAGGTCTTTTACCGATCGTGCCATTGCAAAAGGGAAAAGTATAATGCCTAACTACATTCGAAAGCCTAAACAACTGCGACCGTATGATAAACCAATTCCGCAGCTGACATGGAATCGTTTTTCGGATCTACGTGAGCAATACGCAGAAAGTCTCAATAACTTAACACGCGGTCTGCCCAATTGCACCTCGATCCTGATGACTTTGCAGGTCTTGGGAGAGAATGAAGAGAGCGCAGAACCTTGGGTATTCATTCAATGTAACAAGGCAGTTTTCGGAAAGATTACCAGATTTTTTCGAGAAAGTGCAATTAGGTGTGATTTCGAACCACCTCAGCCCGATGATCGTTTCCCCCGTTTGAGAGTATGCGTTCACCCACAGAAGCCGAGGCCGCTCGTCAGTACCGTCGTCAAGACCGCGAATGCGCCTCCACAATTTGATCTTTCTGCGAATTCAGAAGGAAATGAAATATATGTGTTAAAGTCTAATGTCACACCAGGCGCTCGTCGTGGCAGGCAAATCATGACAGGGTATTCGCATGGAGTGCGCCAGGCTACCATGGGGGGCTTCATCAAGACGATTGACTCAGGAAGTCTGGAAACAATTTATGGAATGACTGCAGGTCATTTCGTCTTTGAAGAATTGTATGATGACGCCGAATATTCTCCAGTAAGCGATTACGACAGCGAATATAACGAGGATATGGAATCTTTCGAATTTGATTTGAATTTCGTCGAAGCTAATTCAGAGGATGAGAATGATGTACATGTTTTGGATAAAAGTGGCATTGAAATTGATGAGGAGGTGAACATGGACGAATGGTCAAGATTGGGAAAGCTTTCAATGGCCTCCCATAATCTCTTCATAGATGAAGGCAATCTTGATTGGGGATTGATCACTATCGACAAAAACTCTTACAGCCCCCCAAATGCCGCATTCAATCCATATCCGACACGAACCAAATCTAGAGGGGAACAGTCCTCAGTACAAATGAGTTCTGCCCGAGGGCCACTCAATGGGATTTTACATGGCTCCTGGTCGTATATAATGCTCCCTCCAGGCAAGGTATTGGTCCAAACACGTCTTCTATCACTTTCAGAAGGTGAGAGTAAGTGAATGAATCTCGCCTCAACGCAATCTAGTCTATAAAAGATATGAAATCGCGATGGCTCTACTTGGTACAGTGACGCTGACCACACTATAGAGCTTCATGTTGGTGATAGCGGTGCGTGGATCGTTGATTCATCAAGTTTCCTACGAGTGTATGGCCATGTCGTTGCTTCGGACGTGTTAGGACGCGGATATGTCGTTCCAATACATAATACACTTGAAGATATCAGAAAAGGACTTGTACGGTTGTTCTCAAGGCCTTTCTGGGTGGCTCCTGCCTACATCATGAATATTCTTCATTCAAACGATACCGGAACAAAACTTTCGCCGCCGAAGGGACTCATAAAAGGTTTTGAAGATCATGGTGACGCGGATGAAAAATTTGCTCCATTACCTTCTAAATTTAACAAACTAGACTCTAAGTATTTAACGATGAAACCAATACCAAGCACGCCATTGCCGATTAAATCTCCAAGACCCGAATTACAGCCATCTACTGTGGCAAAGAAACAGTCAGACGCTGAGTTCTCCAAGGCTTTAACCCCCTCGCAAGACGTTTCAGTATCCACTAGAGTACCTAAAAGTGAGGAGTTCAAAATGGGTGAGATATTCTGAGCACTAGAAATTTTCGAAACAAAGAGAACTGACTTTTATACAGACAAAGAAGAAGAGGAGCTGAGGAGAATTTATTTTAGACATAACCAGAGATATAAAGAGAAGGAGGTCGAGTTGATAGAAGCAGGTGAGGAACATAATGACAATGAGCATTTAAAAGATCTTAAAGACGCCCGCGATGTCGCCGAGAAATTTTATATCATAAGGAAAGCCGAAGTCCGCCAAGATACAAAACTTGCAATTCATCTCAAGAAGGAGCTTGAGAATCTTCCAGGGTACGAAGACTATATTATCTCGTCCGAATCGGATACTTCCGGGCCACATGAGTTATCTAGTGCCCATGACACTAAGCATCCCACAAGCAAAAAGACCCGGAAACGCAAAATCGATGAAGAAAAGGGGTCGATATGAGCGGTGTATTCATGATTTCCAAGCAAACGTTGGAGATTTGTGTGGCTGTTTTTAACTTCATTACTCTGACAAGTTCCTTTATCATGTATTTCTTAGTATATAAAACTATCACGGCAATTTATCACAACTATGTATTTCTCATACCTTATGATATGTAGTCTATCCGATGACTTCATTGCCCTACGACCGTTGAATTATTTTACGCTGGCGAAAACATGATCATTGAGTATCTGATCATTTAAGATTAGGTAGATCTGAACCATATATGATATTTCCAAGCATTCATTAAAATCGTAATCATACTAATGCAAAACATAGCCAGCAACTTTAATCCAAAATCAAAGATGCCCGCCAACAACATCCGACTCGCTAGCTCCAAATCCCGTCCATCCATTAAAATCATCAGCGAAGGTAACAGCCATGGACAGGTATCTCTCATGTACATCTCCCCAAGTAAAAGCTGCTTCCTTCATGGCCCGTATTGCTTTCACATAATGTGGATCCGTTGACCATACACCATTGATAGCTTTATCTTCTACATATTTCCATCCCTTTGCTGGTTTTTGCTCAATATCTTCGTTTATTTCCGGTCTCATCTGCGAACAGTAGACGGCGATTGTTAATAGCCACCATTGACGTATCAAACTTATTTGGAATTTTGCTGGAACGAAGGGTAATAGGATTCGAACTGCATGGCTTGTAGTGAGGATATGTACCATGAAGAAGTCGTATGCGTGAGTGCCAGGCTTAACAGTTTGTACCAACAGATTCACAGCTGCTTCTTGGGAATCTTGGAATTGTTTATTAGGATCGGTGATGCTCCAAGCGTTCCAATGCTCGAGTATAAAGTCCTCATGTTCATTGAATAGTTTGGTTATATTTGAAGGCGAAGGTCCATCCAATACACCATCTAATCGCGAATCTGTATGTATTTTGTGAAGAATTTCTAGGGGCGAGGTTGTGCTATAGGTAGATGCTTTGGTATAAGATGGATCATCAAGATATTTGTGCATAAAATCGTAGCAGCTCGACGCTAGGGAAAGGGCTTCGATGGCCAATTCGCGACTATTCAATTCGACTGCGTAACCGAGATGAATAAGGGGGTGACCGACTAAAACATTCATTAGTACAAATGCGGTACAACAGAAAATATACATACGTCCTGAAGTCAGACCATTGACGAGAGGAGCTTTCCCGCTGTAGAGATATTCCTCTACCAAAACCTTCCAATCATAACTGTATTTTAAAGCCAATTCATCCTCGAAGAAATCAACGTACGCCCTCTGGTATACCTTCTCTCCTAAGAATTCCCTCCAATCCGCATCTGTGATTTCCCCAGGAGAATCCTGCCATTCTTCAAGATGTTTTGATTCTTCTGCGAAAACTTTTTGTAATTGATCGTAATCTGCCCCTAGAAGATACGCGGATCCTAGATGATGTGGTAAATGGTTGTGAAATCGATTGTGGTTGTAAAGAATTGAATGATTAATATGGTTCGATTTCAAGAGATGTTTCAACGTCCTTGGTCGTTTCTCTGGAGCGGTTTCAATGTCGTGAATTTCAACTGGCTGGATACTTATTGGCTGTGTTGATGAACCGATAGTAGTGTTTGCAACATATTTGTAGATTCTGTTCACAATAGGAACCCAATTTATCATAGGAGCCGACATGATTGTTTGTGGTGTTGAACTTTGGAGGTCCTGGGATGCAAGTCAAAGCGTGGGGAAGCTTGAGCTGAAATATGGCAGAATGATCTAATTGGTGGCTGAGTAAAAGCGGTGACAAGAGCTTTGTTGAGCGTGGCGCATTGCGGCATCCATGTATGAGCGGACCACGCTCGAGCCACGGCATCGGAACATCATCCGCGCCGAGTGATGAACCAACTTTATATATTTTATAGAACGCGACGCGACAAACTCAACACAATTTCAATCATGCCTGTCAATCCCATGAAGTTATCAACTTCTATCAAGCAATGCCTCCAATCAAGCCCTTGATCTATGCGGAACTTCTGTCAAACATTCGACAGATATCTATCCTGGCGTTCTTGGACACACCATCTGATTCTTCTACAAAGGCTGAATTATTGGCCGATGGAACCATATTGAAATTGAACCATGCCGAACAGGATATTCGACTAACGCTTCCCAGTCAAGTGGTATCAAATTCACCACTACGAGAATTTCCTCTTGGTAGCCTTGAATTATCATGGCGTCTTCCTTTGGCAGGAGACTTTCAAAGAGCTGATGTAGACATTTCACAAACCATTGAAGCACCATGGTCCGCAAAAGATATGGTTATTGGTAAACAGTTTTTTGAATGCCGCAGGTGCTCTACGACTATCGTGGAAGCAGATCGTATCAAAGAATGGAGGGATCTTCCAAGTGAAGGTTGGGCAGAAATGATGGATTTCTGGCATTGTCACAAGCCATCGGACCATGCTGACCACAGTCATGAAAACGAGAATTTGGCTTCAACAAAAGGTTATGGAGCAAATACGAAGTTCAATGCACAGCCAGGAATCGGTTTCATGGATCATTCAACCCTTCTCTTGGCGGAAACCGATTGTGAGCTTTCTCTAGATGGTAGCGAGGTAAATTATAACTCTTTCTCTATCTTCATTTATAGTCCTAGTATATGTGGGTACCAAGAAGGAGACCAGGCGCTTCTCCATAGGCTGGTCACCGATACAAATACCCAATATTAAGTACTTGCTGTTGCTCTGCTCCGGCAGCAGTCAATGTTAATTACCCTCTTCTTCAGATTATGGGTTTCTAACTTGATTGAAGGTCTTCGAACCTTGGTATCCTCATCACCGTATCTTCTTTGAGATTCTAGAAGTCATGGGTTCAGCACAAGTGACATTTATCTAGCGTATTCTGCATCAAGCAATGTTCAATTAGCTCATTCATTTCTAACTTCGGTTTCACACACAGATAAAGCTTCCTATAAAATGTGAATTGTGTACCGCTACGATTGGAATAAGTGATCCTCAAAACGAAGGAATCCGACTTTTCAAATGGAGTTTGCGCATGGGAACTTACGAGGGCTCTCCATTATCCAATCCTTCGGATAAGCTTCTTGAGCCATCGATGGCCAGAATCCTTTCGGCACAATTATTGGGAATAATGAACTCATCTTGTGTTTCCCGTGTGAACATATTGCCTTTGAAAAATCCAGCCGATGTTGGACTAATAGAGTGGGGATGCCTTAGTATTTGGATCTTCAATCCCTCGATCAGATATACTACTTCATACTTCTACCATCGTAGGCGGATGAGTATCTCGGACATACCTGGTAGACCTGGAATACTGGCTATGAAAATCCTTTCGAAGCCCTTTTCTTTGGCCAAGTATCCATCGACAAATGATGAGTCTGTGGAGGAGCTAGAGTTGCCAGGAGAAGTGATACATGATCTTAAACATTACCTAGAAGTGAGTACAATGCGGTATCTACCACCTAGTGCGAGGAAATTTCAGGAGTGGAATGTATCATTTTTGGATAGGCACGAAGCAACGACCTGAAAAGACAGAAGACTAGTATTCCTATGTATTCCAGTGCTGGAGATTACAGCTTCAAGCTATAGCTTTGTTCTGCTGGTGGAATCGGATACCACTTGTTGAAAATAAACTCGGGATCATACTTCCTCTTAATCTCTCTCAATCTCGCATAGTTCTGTCCAAACATATCCTGAGTCTTTTCCGTTCCACTTCCCAAATTAGGATTCGTGAACTTTCCAGACCCTTGATTTTTAACTGCTTCCTTGACTGGCCCAATCATCCTCTTAATTTCCTCTCTCATAACCGTATGCGAAACTTGAGAACTATCATACTGTGCCTCCATAGTAACAGAAACCGTCTTTTCTCTCGCCGCCAATGCAGTTTCCGATGCAGGGATTGCACCAGAAACCTTGTAAGAACGCATATCGATTATGATTCGTGAAGGTGCCAGTGCATCTCCGTGCTTGTTGTGAAAATCATCGAATTCTTGTATTAATTTCCCCATGATTTCGACATTGAATGGATGGGGCATAAAAACGCTCGTACTTGAGAAGTTCTGATGGTTTGGCGGTTCATCTACGAGTCCTGATGGCTTGGTTGTGTTGGCAAATGGCTTCATTGATACCGCCGACATTACAGGCTGCAAATCCCACAACGGAGCGGTGAGCTTTCGTGCTTCTTCCTCGGATCCATCATAGGATATGATACAGATGGGGTGAATGCCAGACATTGGCACAGTTGGGATCTTTGTTATCGCCAAAAAAATGCGTAACTTCCCGTCAGTTTGCTCTGTTACCTCTTGCATGGTGTCGACTAATTCAAGAAGTGCTTTCGTCTTCTCCGGCCCATATACTAAAGGACCACTAAGAAGTGTATTAGCTCTTCCACTTATCTCACCCGCCAATTCCTCATGCACGCAGTCAAACTTACTGGCATACGTCAACTTGCTTATGCACTCGATACGTAAATTCAACCACAATACCAAAGTTTGGTCCTCCTCCTCTGATACCCCAGAATAGATCTGAATTTTCATCTTTGGAACAATTTAAAACGATCCCATTGGCAATTACAACACGGGCCGAGAGTAGATTATCAATCACGAGTCCGTATCGGTCAGTCAGAGGGCCTGAACCACCGCCTAGAGTTAGACCTGCGATTCCTATCTTGAGAGTTAGATATGACAGGGAAAAGAGGCTGATGGTGGGAAATTGGAATTCGAAGAAGGAAGAGAAGGGGGCTATACCTGTATCACTAGCTAGGCCCATGACCACTGATAATCCTTCCGCTGTACGACATTAGTCAATGTCCATTAGTATTAATTCCCTTCAATGTATAGACAATGATCATGTTCCATTTGAATGATTGCCCACTAATCTCCCAATCAAACTCAAACAATCAATCATTACTATTCCAATCCAACTTGTACAATCCACAGGGACTCAAGAATGAAAAATCGAATAACATAGCACCACTTTACGTACCTTGAAGCGGAGTTTCCAA